AGATGTTACACTTCACGAGATGTGGTGTTTGATGAAGCGTCTTCTTGGTGGTCCTCAGAGAAGGAGGTGCTACCAGACTCCAAAGAATTTGGAGAAAAGCTGCAACAGAAGATGGGGGAGCATACTATCTAACTCCAACCAAGTTCAGATGAATCAGGAGATCCAAATGGCGATGATGTTGAACAAAGAGTGGCTCAGAATCCTTGGCAAACTAGCATGTATCAACAACCAAACGAAAAAGGTGGGCCTAGTGAAACAGAAGAATCAACTCCACAATCTCAACTCCAAAGGTCAACAAGAACACGAAGGCCAAATCCTAAATACGCCAATGCAGCCATAATTGAAGAAGCAACAGAGCTTGAGACGTTTGAATAAGCATTGCAGAGTTCTGAGTGGATGACAGCTATGAAAGAAGAGATCGATGCACTTCAGCAAAATCAAACTTGGGATCTCGTGCCAAAGCCAAGAGATGTGAAACCCATATCCTGCAAGTGGGTTTACAAGATAAAGCGTCGTCCAGATATGTCAATCGAGAGGTACAAGTCACGATTGGTAGCTCGTGGTTTCTCTCAACAGTACAGACTAGACTATGATGAAACATTTAGTCCAGTGGCGAAACTTACAACGATATGAGTTCTACTTGCACTTGCAGCTAACAAAGATTGGAATCTTTACCAGATGGATGTGAAGAATGCTTTCTTGCATGGAGAGTTAGATCGGGAGATCTACATGATGCAACCAATGAGCTTTAAAAGCGAAGCTCATCCTGAGTACGTGTGCAAGTTAAGGAAAGCACTCTATTGTTTGAAACAAGCACCAAGAGCGTGGTACGGTAAGATTGCAGAGTTTCTCACATAAAATGGTTATTCAGTAACACCCGCAGATTCCAGCCTATTTGTCAAAGCCAATGAAGGAAAGCTAGCTATCGTGCTAGTGTATGTGGATGACTTAATCATAACCGATGATGATGAGGCAGAAATTCTTCGGATGAATGAGAATTTATCAGTCTGTTTCCAGATGAAGGAACTTGGTCAACTCAAGCACTTCCTTGGTCTAGAGGTTGATCGCACACAAGAAGGAATATTTCTCTGTCAACAGAAGTATGCCAAAGATTTGTTGAAGAAGTTCGGAATGCTCAATGCAAGCTGATTTCGACGCCGATAGAGCCAAATGCCAAAATGTGTGCACATGAAGGAAAAGATTTGGAAGATGCGATGATGTATCGACAATTGGTAGGTAGTCTGATCTACTTAACCTTGACTTGACCTAACATTTCTTATGCAGTTGGTGTGATGAGTCGGTACATGCAAAATCCAAAGAAGCCTCACTTGGAAGCAGTTTGACGCATACTGAGATATGTGAAGAGTACAATTGACTATGGTCTTTTGTACAAGAAAGGTGAAGACTGCAAGTTAGTTGGTTTTTGTGATGTAGACTTTGCAGGAGATCATGACACCAGAAGATCGACCACTGGGTTTGTCTTCAGAATTGGTTCTGGAGTAGTTTCGTGGTGCAGCAAGAGACAACCAACGGTGTCTTTGTTAACTACAGAAGCAGAGTATAGAACATCAGCAATGGCAGCTCAAGAGAATGCATGGCTGGTACAGTTGATGAGTGATTTACATCAACCAGTAGATTATCCAGTACCATTGTACTGTGATAACCAATCGACAATTCGCTTGGCGGAAAATCCAGTCTTTCATGCAAGAACCAAACATGTGGAGGTACACTATCATTTCATTAGAGAGAAGGTCTTGCAAGAAGAGATTGAGATGAGACAAATCAATACAGATGAACAAGTTGCAGACTTGTTCACTAAA